AAAAAAAAAAAAAAAAAAAAAAAAAGGCCACGAATTATCACAAATTATGCAGTGAATGTGAAAAGTGGAACTCTACAAAAGAAACAACACCAGGTAACAAAAAGCAGTAGGGAATAAGTAATAAGAGAAAGGCCAACAGAGAAAGTCAGGCTACAGTAAAGAAAAAGAGGTGGAGAGAGGAATTCACCAAACTTGTACAGATGCCTCTGTCTGTGCTAGTCACTCTATAACCCCTTCATAAAGAAGGCATACCTTACCAGCAGAGCCTAAGATATGTCTGTTGTTCCCTAAAGTAGACTTCCAAAATGAATCACACATTCAGCATCCTAAAAGTGCCTGTATCTGCTCCCTGGCTGTAAGGAGTGCCTGGGGAAGCTAGCTCAGATGTAGATGCCTGCCATATGGCCACTTATATTTAGGTGAGGCGAGTTCCACCCTCTGCAACAGCAATAGCTTTTACAGAGTTACAGAAATATATAATTAGACCTTACATGCATGCACGCTTACAGTTTTTCCTGTGCTTTCAGATGCTGAAACAGTGATTTACATTTTAGGCACACAGATTCCTCCAATGTTCATTCAGCTGGATCTTCACAATCAGTTTAGGTTTGAAAATTTGGGAATTTAATCCCCCAAAAAAGAAAAGCTGACACAGAAGCATCCTTCTGACCTGACACAGAATGTTTTATTCCATTACAAGAAAAGCAAAAAGAAAAGCAGAAGAAACAGTGGTACTATCAACAACCAATGGGATTTGAACCTCAAAACCTAGCAATGTACAAAAAAGTCAGCTCTAATCTCTGACTGCTTTAGTGCTGGGCTGGAAGTAAGGTTTGGGGGATTTTTTTCACATCTGAAACAGCGGTCTGAAGAAAATTGTGAACAGGATTCTGAATTATGAATTCTTCAAGGAAGACCGGTTTTATTCTGTACAAAATATGTAAACATTCAGTGAGCCAAAAAGCAAGACAGTGTGAACACATTTCCAGTCATTGCTAATACCCTCTCTTTTGGTTTCCAGCTCCTGCTCACAGGACTCTCTTTTTCCATACAAATTCTGAAGCAGGCAGCAAAAAAAAATTGAGAACCTGTATCCTGGAGAGTCCAGCCCTCTGCTGAGTGGTGCAAGCTGAGGGTTCAACTTCCCTTGGGACACATCAAGACTCCATAAACTCACAGTGAGTACTTTAAATCCCAGTCTACTGTATGGAGGAAAAGCAATATTCTGGAAGGATAACAGGGAGAAGTTCATATACAGATGTTAATATTTGGAAGATTCTGGTCTAGTCTTATGTCTTTTCTCCAGGGTTAGACTAGAAAATCATTATAGAAAGCCTGCACAGTTTTGTGGAAAATCAGAAAACACAGGAGAAAAGATCAGTCTTTTTGACACCACCATGGCAATAGATGGGTCTCAGGCCATCTGGAGATGCAAGTGCCTAATTTTTCTTCAGCTAGTTAGCTACAGCAATAAAATGGTTCATTAAAAAAAAAAAAAAAATTGTCCATGTGCCCTGCTGCTGGAATCATGCAGGATGTAGTTCAAAGGTTTGACCTTGGAAGTTAGATGTGAAGCACTCTGAACTCCCCGTCAATTCCTCACGTTTAAGAATATGCATTTTACTCAAGCGTATCCAGCAACAGCTAGATCCACTTCTTTAACTCAGAAAGTTTTGTTGAGTGTTTCCCTTTTTTTAACTGATGAAAAAGCATTATTCTTCTGGTTTTGAGAGGCGAAGCTTTTGATGGATACTGGCAATGTTTTACAGAGTTGGTAGTTTTGTAAGTTTTTGAAAAGATATGACTTTGCAAAAAGTATTTTATGGTTTTCTATTTTTTCTCTCTATGCAACTAAAAATGGAGGATATTGAGGTTCTGAGTTCTTTTATTTTCAGTGAGGGAAAAAAGGTAGAGAAAAAAAGGAATTTGAATATAGAGAAAATAAAAATAAAAAAATTAAAACACAGAATTTTATAATGTCATACATTTTAAATTATTTTTGCATAAAGTTGAGCATACAGAACCACTGGCTTTCCAAACACATTACAAAATGTCTTTTGTAAAGACATTTGTCTTTACAAAATATAGCACAAATC